ACCCAGGGACGCCCCGAGGTGCCACCCAGGGGACACTCCCGCTGTCCCCGCTCACCTCCTCGTCCCTGCCCAGGGCCACCAGGTGTCCGTCCACCAGCGAGAAGCGGGACGCGTCCCACACGGTGGCATCGGGTGGCACCGGGGCCAGCGGCGGCGGGGACGTCTCCAGGGGGGTCCCTGAGGGGACAGAACGGGGGGGTGCCCGCAGGGTCAGTGCCACCCACCGCGGGGACAGGAGGCCATGGAGGGGACAGCGAGGGGGAGGTGACACCAAGGGGGAGGTGACACCATGGGACAGGTGGCCAGGGAGGTGGCACCAAGGCCATGGAGGTGCCACCACGGGTGAGGTGGCACCAAGGCCATGGAGATGCCACCATGAGGTGACACCAAGGGACACGTGGCCATGGAGATGCCACCATGAGGTGACACCAAGGGACACGTGGCCATGGAGGTGCCACCATGAATGAGGTGACACCAAGGTCATGGAGGTGCCACCATGGAGGTGCCACCATGGGTGAGGTGACATCAAAGCCATGGAGGTGCCACTATGGGTGAGGCGCCACCATGGGTGAGGTGACACCAATGGACAGGTAGCCATGGAGGTGCCACCATGGGTGAGGTGACACCAAGGGACACGTGGCCATGAAGGTGGCACCAAGGCCATGGAGGTGCCACCACGGGTGAGGTGGCACCAAGGCCATGGAGTTGCCACCATGGAGGTGCCACCATGGGTGAGGTGACATCAAAGCCATGGAGGTGCCACTATGGGTGAGGTGACACCTAGGGTGAGATGCCACCATGAGGTGACACCAAGGGACACGTGGCCATGGAGGTGGCACCAAGGCCATGGAGGTGCCACCATGGGTGAGGTGACACCAAGGGACACAATTGCCCCCAAATCCTTCACCCCATATCCCATCACCCCAAAACCCCTCACCCCATATCCCATCACCCCAAAACCCTCCCCGCACCCCAAAACCCAAGCCTGCACCCCAAATCCCCCACACCAAGCCTGTCCCCGCACCCCAAACCCCAAAACCCTTCACTCTATAAATCCATCACCCCAAACCCCACCCCGCACCCCAAAACCCGCACCCCAAAACCCCTCACCCCAAACCCCTTCACTCCATGTCCCATCACCTCAAAACCCCCCCTGCACCACACCCCCACCCCAAACCCCAAAACCCTTCACCCCATAAATCCATCACCCCAAAACCCCAAACCGCCTCCTGCACCCCAACCCCTCACCCCAAACCCCGCACCCCAAAACCCAGCCCCGCACCCCAAATCCCCCACACCAAACCCCACCTCACCCCCCAAAACCCCTCACCCAAAACCCCTTCACCCCATATTCCATCATCCCAAATCCCCCTCCCCACATCCCAAAACCCCTCACCCCGCACCCTAAAACCCTTCACTCTATAAATCCGTCACCCCAAACCCCACCCCACACCCCAAAACCTGCACCCCATATCCCATCACCCCAAAACCCGTCACTGCAAACCCCAAAACCCTTCACTCTATAAATCCGTCACCCCAAACCCCTCCCCGCACCCCAAACCCCACCCC